TTCCCCCTTGAATTGTTTGCTGCCCTGAGTCCTCCCGGAGAAGGGCGGCATACAAATAATAAAATACAATACACTACAATAGAAAAGTTCTGTGTTTCAAAGCATGGCCGTCTCTTCTCACAGAATTACTTCCTGCTGATTGCTACTCATTTACTTATCTTTTCCTCTGGCAGTGCCACCGCAAATCGGGGAGAATGCGCTCCTCTCTTCTGTCGATTCCTACAAGTATGGCTCCACCCAAACTCTTACGTGTACGGTGTATGCGGCTCCCATGGTGAGGCACATTCAGTGGTACTGGCAACTGGAAGAAGAATGCACTTTCAATCCACAGTAAGCAGAACACGATTTCCCAGTGATTGCTTCCCCCCCCCCCGCCCCTCCATGCATTTGATTTTGTACAAATACATTGTGTTGGTGACTTGTTTGGAGATCTCTTGGCAAATCTCTTCTGATCCTTTGGAAAATTATTTCCCCGGAGATAAGGCAGGTCCCCCGTCTCCTATCCTTTTGAAAAATGGGTTAAAACATGGCTCCATGGCCATGCTTGAGAAGGCCAAAAGAGCATAGAGTTGTGAGGTGGCGTAGTGCCACGAGAGTCCTTCCTTTGCCTTTCCCCACCAATTTTTAACAGGGTTATTCTTGCCTCCTTTAAAACAAAATACCACATTTTTTTAAAATATTGAACTCAAAATTTTAATGCCAGCATTTTAATTTTTGGTATTTCAATGTTTTATGGTGCACCGCCCAGAAACCCCCTTTGAGGGAGACGGGTGGTTTGGAAATGTGAAAAATAAATAAATAATGCCCACCTACATCCGGTTATGCCACAATTCAAAACTAGACAGATTCCCTCCGGTTTCACTGGTACTTTGCTCAATAGTAGTAACTGGGAGAGGGATCTTGGAGTCCTAGTGGACAACCATTTAAATTGGAGCCAGCCGTGGGCAGCAGCTGCCAAAACAGCCAACGCAGTTCTAGGCTGCATAAACAGAGGGATAGAATCAAGATCACGTGAAGTGTTGATACCACTTTATAAGGCCTTGGTA